CCCCGACGGGCGATTGCCCGCATGGAGCCTTGTGCTGCAATATGAGAGCGAAGTGCGCAAGCATGCTTACCGGCTGGTCCGGGATGGCTCCGCGACAGATCTGAATGCCGCGCTCTCGGCTGCTTGCTCTGCGCCCGAGCTCTACACCATGCACTTTATTGGGCCCATGTCTTTTGCTACCTTTGCTTCTGCAGGTGGCGATGCGCTGGACACACAGGAGATTGACTCTCGCCGCCGCCCTTATGGCAAAGGCCGTGGCAAAGGCGGGAAGGGGCCTGCCGCCCCTCCCATCAAGCGCGCAATCAAGAAGCATTCCCGAACCAACGATGGCCAGCTCATTTGCTTTGCCTTCAACAAAGCCAGCGGGTGCTCAAAGAAATCTTGCTCATATGCCCAGCGTTGCCTGGGGAAGCATCCCTATCCGGCCCTATCCCTCTTGCCAGTTGGTTGACCGCCCTGAAGATCACGAATGACTATCTTCAGCAGCGTGTCTCCATCCGTCGCCGCTGAGTGGGGAGGATTCCTCGCGGATGGAGTCTTCAGTGGTGGAAGCTGAGGAATGGAAATGGGAAAATAGTTGGATGCAGACGCAAGTTCCGATGAAGATGAAGACGGTGAACCCAAGCTGGGCTCTGGGCTTTGGGGCCATGGACCGCCGTGACTTCAATGCTCATGGGTAAGCAAAGGGCATTTTCCGATGGCTTTGGGCTTGGCGCAGCGCAAGTGACACACCATCCCTGGGTTTCTTGGAAGCGTTGGGCACAGAACTGGAAAAGAAGCTCCAGAGCTTCTGCGACGTGAGGTTGCTAGCAATGAAGCTTGCAGCTGGCAAAGTCAACGACTGCCCTTTCCCCAGGGCGGCAGTTGAAGATGGTAGACAACTGGTTTTTGTTGCGCTGGAGATGGCCGGCGCAAAGCTGGATGTGCGGACACGGGCGCCCGATCAGCCATTTTGTCTAGGGGCCATTGAAGAACTCTTGAAAAATTTCAGGTGACCCAGATCATAAAGCATATTCTTCAGCCACCAACTCGTTTGCCAAAGGGGTCCGCCTGGGTGTTGGAGCAAAGTTGCCAAGGGTGCCAGCCGTGTTTGAGCGGAAAACCACATGGAAAAATATGCGGACGACATGGCTGAAGTTCATCTGCGTGAAAACTATATCTCCGCAAAGCAGCAATCTTCAGTGATACAAGAGCAGTTCAAGAATGAAGCAGAGTTGGGCGCCGTGATCGAGATCGGCTTGGAGGAGGCGCGAGCCAAGTTTGACAACTTGGCGGTAGCATCCTTGGGGGCCATTGAGAAGAAAGACGGTAGCTACCGAGTCATTCACGATGGGACCCATGGGCTAGATGTCAACTCACAAATACGAGTGCGAGACCAATTGAGGAATCCGACTGCGGGGGACCTTCGTACTTTGATGCAATTGCTTCCTGGGTCATTCTTCGCTTTGACTGGCGATGTCAAAGGGGCGCATCGCTTGGTGAAGGTGGCAGAGAGAGATTGGGGCTTGCAGGCATGCCGTTCTGGCGCGCGAGGCGACCAGTGGCTGTGGCTAAACAAGGTTGGAACCTTTGGTGTCAGCAGCGCTGCGTACCACTGGGGTCGGCTCATGTCGGGGCTGGGACGGCTGGTCTATTATCTGCGGGGGCGTGCCGAAATGGCGCTGTTGGTATTTGTAGATGATCTCTTCTGGCTTACCCGAGAGAAGGGCGGCGTCGAAAAGATAGTGATCTCAGTCTATTTCTTGGTGATTTTGGGATTGCCATTTTCCTGGTCCAAGTTCTGCGGAGGGCTGGATGTATCCTAGGTGGGCTTTACACTAGATTTGAAGGGCAACTTATTGGGGCTCTCAGTTGCGCGCGCAGCCTGGAAATGGTTACAAGATTGTGTATCAGCTGGATCAGTGCGTATAGCAGACATGTGTGCAGCGTTGGGAAGGCCATCCTTTGCTTTGTCAGCGCTGGATCACTTGCGCCCGTTCCTAGGGCCGATGTATGCTTGGGTCACTGCTCTGGAGAACGCGCGCGTTTACAGATTGCCCAAAGCCATCAAGCTCATGATGTTGTTCCTGGCCAAAGCGCTAGCTGGTGATGGGAGGCTGACGCCTGTCGGCGTCCGGACCATGGGGCTGGCCAAAGAATGTTTCAGGACTGATGCCCGCGCTGAGGGGAGCGAAATTTGGGTAGGGGGATGGGCGCTCGACGATCAAGACACAATGAAGTGCCGTTGGTTTGCAGAGAAGATCACTCACGAGAAGGCGCCGTGGCTTTATGCCGCGGGCGAGTCATACAGACACATTGCATTTGGGTTGGGAAAGGCTGATGCTGGATGTGTTTCTTGCTCTGCAGGTACTGACAACAAGGGCAATTCATTTGTGGTGTCTAGATTACTGACGACGAAATTCCCCCTCTGCGCTTTCCTTATGGAACTAGCATTGCATTTGCGTGTGAGAAGAGTGAACTTGGAATTGCGTTGGCTCCCACGCCTGCAGAATGTAGAGGCAGACGCTCTGACGAACAACGACGCGACAAGGTTTGACCCATGCAGGCGGATAAGATTTGATCTGCAAGATTTCAATGGGCTGGTTATGGGTGAAATGCTTGCAGCCGGGACCGAGCTGTACGCTGAGATTAAAAACAGCAAGGCGTGGCAAAAGACCAGTTCGCCCAGAGCCAAAGTACGCAAAGTGGATACTTTGCGTGTGAAAGATCCACGGTTATGAAAGAAAAAGGGATCGCAATCGCCGCTGGGTGGGGTGCTTATTCGTTGCGACCTTTTAGATAAGTTTGGGGTGGTTGGTTTCCTCCCTTTACTACCCTTGCACGGCTGGTTTGCTGTGCTGGACCGGGTCGCTTTTCTCCCCACTCCAGGGTTGCGAGAGTTAAAAAGTTGCGTGTCCGGTGTGCAGAAGGCCATGTTCTGCTAATGTGGGTCTTTCTTCCGGTTGGGTTTGGTGCTTCACCCTTATTAACAATTGCTAAGCGCATCCCGGGATGTGTACGCGAGCGTACAACAAACGGGGATTTGCTTGCAATGACTTGTTCCAATCGGTTGGTTTGATGTTCTGGTCACCATTTTGATTGAATGCATGAGTTCAGCCCAGTGGGGTTGCTCATGGACTTGGGCAACGTTTGATGGCGGTTGTGTGAACCTCCGCCACGGTGTTTTGCTTGGCTGTGTCTGTTCTTTCTTTTGACCCCGCCCGCCCTCTCCCCTTTTTTTT